CCACTTGATAAAGTGGGTCGTCGTCGTCAATTCTGGTAATTTCACCAATGCGAAACACCGCGTGCATAGAGAAGAGAATGTCTTCTTCTATTTCAAAATAACTAACACTCTGAATGTCAGCGAATGGAGTTGACGTGACGGAAGGATCAATGGTTATTTGAAAGAGAATACCAACTGTATCAGTCTTTCCTAAGGTACTTTCAGCAAAAACGAGAGAAACTTCTCGACTTTTACTGGTGGACAAGAAGTTGTTAAAGGACACTAGCCCACCTCTTGTTTTTCGGAGTTGTGCATAAGCCACAGTCAGTAAAGTTTGTCCCCGATAAACTATGAAGGACTTCCCACAATAACTACTGAGTTGTTCTTTGTGTAATTCTTCAATTTGAAGGATAAGAGGGATGAGAAGGATGGTTTTTGTGTCCGTTTTCGGCATAATCACACCTAAAGAAATGTTAATCTTGGGACTCTCAGAAAACCCGATGCCACGCCTGAACCAGGAAAAATTAAAAGTTCGCTTAGTTCCCATTTTGGAGAAGACACTTCGGACTATCTATCTATGAAAAAATACTGACAGATTGCTCCCGCAGTGGTGTTCCAAAGATCTCCTAGAAAACTGGCCTTTTGAATGTTTTCGGAAAATGGGTTTGCTTACGAAAATATAGGCTAACCTGTTCCCTTTCGATTGCTGAAAAGCGCAAGTCTCTAGTGCTTATCGTTGTCGAGTTATTACCACGGGTTCTATAGGGTTAACGTACTTTTAAGTACGTTAGCCATTAACCAAAAAGTGTTATAACAATTTTTGTTTGGCTTTCTAGTGTTTAGATTTAATAAAAGTTTACTATGAACCATGTCTAGATTTTAATATTCTGATGAAATATCCCAATGATACAAACTACGTTCGCGATATTCGTTAGCTATCTATCGTCGTATTACTGATCCGTTGAATAATTACTTGGAAGTTATAGGGTCAAGAAATGAAATCTATGTGTCCGTGTATGGATGTGATCTGTTTGCTTGAATAGATTAAAAAAACAGAAATAAATCGAATTGAATTATCAACGCAAGCTAATCCAGGTAAATAAAACAAAGAAATTGAGTAGTTCTTTTTTTTTGCTGAAGAGACTTCTTTTGTGTTTTTAGCGAATGATGCGCCGCCGTTCAATACAACCGGGGAAGAAAACGAAATATCTTTGACAACTAAGCCTGAAATAATGGTTGAACCTGCTCCTATTTACCATAAGCGTTATTTAACTGAATTATCAAAATGTCCTTGTATACAATCTGGCTCAAAACAACGTGAACATCCCCAAACAGCAGTAATTAACGAATGATTTTTTTATTCACTCTAGGATACCAAGATTTATCCAGGACCTCCAAAATCCTAGTTTTTAAAAAGCTGATGCAAACGTCTTTTCTCTCATTCAGAGGATAGAGCAAATATTTCTCTTCAAAATGAGATACTCCGCAGCCCTCAGCAACCTTTTTTCATTGAGTTATGACTTTTACACCAAAAGTCCCACAAGCAGAAGTCTCAGGAATGTTATGAAAAAAAAGAGCTGTGATAGACTGATTATCGCTTTGTAGCTTCTAGTGTAAAAGTCATAACTCAATGAAAAAAGGTTGCTGAGGGCTGCGGGATATCTCATTTTGAGGAGAAGTCTTTGCTCTATCCTGCTGAATGATGGAAAAGACGTTTGCATCAGGTTTTTAAGAAGTAGGATTTTGGAGGTCCTGGATTTGTGAAAAACATTTTTTTCAAGCAGGATAAAGTTAAGTTGAAACTTTTTGAATAATATATATATACACATGGAAGTCAGCACTGTACGAACCTATCCTCAGATTTATTGTACCTAGTAGAGTTGACGAGAAAGAACAAAAACAAGTTTGTCTGTAAACGTTTTTCGTTTTTGAACATGTGGAGGGGGAATTCGATAATTCGTTTGGCAGCTAAAGGCAGTCCCGGATTCAAAGGACGATCTTCGTATAATATTTTGACGGTGACGTTGTAGAGACGTGCATCTTTTAGACCAAAAGAATGCGGCTCAAATAATTATTGCGATAAGTGGAAATAAAGTAAAAAATTTTCTTTAACATAAACACTGAAAAGCATCGAAATGGTCATACAAGAATAACTAGAATTATTTTATCTTTTAAATCCTCGTACTAGATAGGTTTGCAAGACCTATAGGAGCAGTTTTACGATTTTTCTCGTGTTCGGCGAATTTCGTGACACGACTCATCCGCGGATCGATTTTTCAGAGAAACGACTCTTCTATGAACTGAAATGAGGTGGCAGTAAGCAGCGTGAGAGTGATTGTGAAAAGGATTTCATTCGCGGAAAAGCTTGGAGAAACGTCGTTCGCGGAAGAGTCGGTGTACCATTTTGAAATTTTAAAAAAAAGAGTATAGGCAAATTTTACTTAATCGGATACTTCGAAAACCAGTAGTTTTAAATTTTTTCACTCGAAAACCACTTTTAGAAATCCTAAATTGACTTTTTCCTATGCAACTCGATGATCTGTATTCGACCAGGACAAAAATAAAAAAATTTTTACTCAAGTTTTGAATTTCCGGCACGTTATTTCTTTACTCTTTTTTAAGTTAAACATGCATTGGTGTACAAAGAAAAATCTTCAAAGGCTAGTAAAATGATGCTTGTATTGGTCGCATTTTTGAAATGCTCCGAGTTTTCTTCTGAGGAATCGAAATGTACGGCAATTAAAAACACGGAATTAATAAAGTTTGAGGGCACATGTGTGTTTTGAAACGGTGTGTCTTTACTTGTGTGGACAATACATGAAACACCAGCGTAAACCATTTCAATTTGGACATCAGCAGTAGATTTCCAAAATCCATCCAAAAATTATCTTATCGTTTTTCAGATTCGTTTCTTTCTGAAAAGACATGTTCAGGCCTTATCATCCTTCAACAAAAACAGCAGATCTCTATTTAACTTATGTACCTTCATTCGTAAAATATCTCAAAACCGGTTGAAGTATTAATGGCAATGGTTGGGACCGTGCGGTATTGAATCAATAACGAATTCTTTGTCAATTTTAACGAAAGTTTGATTTTGATAATGCTGGAGCAGTAAAAATTTCAAATATGTTCCGGGATGAAGATGTCCTCCATTGAGACACTCAGGAAAAGTGTACCATCGGCGCATGTAATAGGACATCGATTCGATCGGGCCTATTGCAAATCTATCATCAACAGTAGTGCTGATGTAACGATTTGGAGGTAGAATGATAGTAGAATTAATACCATGGCTATCAAATGATGCTGGTGATTTGAGAAATCGAGTATCGATTCTCTCACGAATAAGTAACTGATACTCTATATTGTGTTTTTTCTCGTACTCTCTCACGAATTCATAACATTTAGCTAATGCCCATAATTGCTGAAAATATTGGGGAATCTTGTAATCGGCTAATTGAACATAAGGAGGGGGAATTTGATAATTCGTTTGGCAGCTAGAGGGCAGTCCCGGATCCAAGGGACGATCTTCGTATAATATTTTGACGGTGGCGTTGTAGAGACGTGCATCTTTTAGACGCTTTTCTAGTGGAACAATGGGTGGTGTGACTCCTTTTGGTTCGGTGGAGGATAAGAATAAAAATGTGTCAATATCACCATTTAAGCGGCGATGAATCTCATGTTCACTCTGTTCCCACGCCTCATGAATGCATTCGATGACTCCTAGAGAACAGGTGAAAATGTGATTAAAGTTTCAAACAACCATTTTCTACTGCTTGTCGACACTACTTCCAAGACGGCCATGTAAATTTTGGGAGCTTAAACACTTCCTCACACTAGGCACCAGAGCTAGAACTGGTTGAGAAACGGTGAACCTGTCAGGTCGATAAACTGGCTGGTTGAAAGTATAACTCAAACTGGCAAAGTTTTTTGAAAATCGATTTTCAGAAAGAATTTCCTCCAAAAATGAAATGGTTTGTGAGCACATATAAGAGAACTAATAACGAGTCTATGACATTTAACCTTGAAACAAGTGATGAAAATAATATCTGTCTTGAGCATCGTCTTAGTTATTCTGACTTAAAAAGGCGTGAAGTTTTAGTTTTTTAACGAAAAACAGGGTAAAAAGAGCAGCTGTTTCAAAAGTTTCAACCGGTGTAATATTGGCCTCTACTGGACCGGTTCCAGCTCTGCTAGGCACTGCTACTTGCGACGCGGAGTTAAACGTCTGTCACGAGTTATTACTATTTTCCAGTGATGACGACATCATCCTAATAATTATAAAACTTTTGAGAAATATTTCCTGTAGTGGAGGAAGAGTAGCAATCTTTTTGCTGAAGTTTCATGATTGACCAAATTTTGTTTTACATATGAAGACGATGCAATTTGACCAGCTGACTTTCAATTTTCTTATTTATTTTATGACTCATTGTAATTCGAAAAATCGAAATGTAAAAATCGGTTAATTTTTTGCTCTGAAATATATTCTACTTTGAGAAAAAAAATGCTATTAAAGAAGCAAAAGGCTAGTAAAGTGGAGGAAAAAAGTTTAGAGACAAACTTGTTTTTGTTCTTTCTCGTGAACTCTAGTAGGTACAATAAATCTGAGGATAGGTTCGTACAGTGCTGACTTACATGTGTATATATATATTATTCAAAAAAGTTCAACTTACTTTATCCTGCTTAAAAAAAAATGTGTTTAAGAAATCCAGGACCTCCAAAATCCTAGTTTTTAAAAAGCTGATGCAAACGTCTTTTCTCTCATTCAGAGGATAGAGCAAATATTTCTCTTCAAAATGAGATACTCCGCAGCCCTCAGCAACCTTTTTTCATTGAGTTATGACTTTTACACCAAAAGTCCCACAAGCAGAAGTCTCAGGAATGTTATGAAAAAAAAGAGCTGTGATAGACTGATTATCGCTTTGTAGCTTCTAGTGTAAAAGTCATAACTCAATGAAAAAAGGTTGCTGAGGGCTGCGGGATATCTCATTTTGAGGAGAAGTCTTTGCTCTATCCTGCTGAATGATGGAAAAGACGTTTGCATCAGGTTTTTAAGAAGTAGGATTTTGGAGGTCCTGGATTTGTGAAAAACATCTTTTTCAAGCAGGATAAAGTTAAGTTGAAACTTTTTGAATAATATATATATACACATGGAAGTCAGCACTGTACGAACCTATCCTCAGATTTATTGTACCTAGTAGAGTTCACGAGAAAGAACAAAAACAAGTTTGTGTCTAAACTTTTTTCCTCCACTTTATGAATTAAATAGATACAAGCAGAAGGAATGGACAAAGTTTGAGACACTGAGTACGGGAAAGCTATGGAAACTCATTATGTTGAGAGGAAATGGAAGGATAATGTGTTCTGCGCTGTCTTAGATCAAAAGGAAAAATTTTAAACTAGAAAAATCTCGAAAATGTCAAAACGTTTTGAGTCACGTATTAATCCCAGCGAGACATCAAACCCCTAAAGGCAGCGCCCTGCCCACCTCTATCACATTCAAGTACACATCGTCCCTACCATTCGTCAGTCCTTCAGGATCTTCAGTTTTTGAAATATTTTTCGAGAAATTTCCCTTTCGATTTAAGTCAGACATACCATTCTAAAAGCTAAAAATACTTACTACGAAATCTACAGAGATTTTATTTTAGAACAAGAAGAAATTCCGTACCCACATTTTTTTCTCGTATGCTCTTGGGACCATGCAAAGTTTGAGAAAAGATTATTTGGCCGTGACAGATGCTTCAAACAGAGATATTTATTTTCTGACTAAAACTGTATTTTCAATGTTTTGCTAACTGTCCACATTATTTTCCACCGGCTTTGTCTATTTTATTTTCAAATCCCTACCTGACTCAAGTCTACAAACACTGTTACGATATGACCTCTTACCTGTTACACAAACAGCTGCACGTTTTTGAACCACCAGCTCTTGAGTTTTTCGTTGGTTTATTAGAGCGGGAAATATGTATCCAACACTTTGTAAGTCTTGTAGCCACGCGTTCATTATTTTAACTTCCTTGACATTCCAAAAGCCAGCGCCTGCTATGTCATTTGTTAAGTGAGTGATCCTTTCCGACAAGGTCGAAGCGTTCGACTCCCAAGAGTTGAGAAAACGAGCGAATTTTCCGCTCTCTTGACGAATTTGATCCTTGTCAGGCAAGTATCGGATGTAATTATGCTCGTTTCTCACATGTGAGACGGTATTAGTGCCAAAAACTAGTGAGCCGCCAATATTCCATAGCAATCGTTGCACCCAGAAGCCTCTCCAGATGTCGCAAACTTGAATTGTTGTTGTCACAGGAAGAACGAGTCCCCAGAATGCCTCGTAGTGAGTGATCGTGTTCTGAGTATTGTACGGCGAAAATGTGAAGGGCTCGACAGCGATCGGTGGATGATCTCGATCAAAGTAGATATGCTCGAGTGTCATTGAATAAGAAAGGCGGTAGAAAGCGTCGACGTCCGGATCGAGATCGGTCAAGTACTGTTGTATGTATGCGTTGATCTGCTTGTTCTCGTTCCTCCGCAGCGTACTCCACCCGTCTTCAGTAATATTTGTCAACTCGTCAACAGGGAAGCCTCGTGGCCATATCCGAGGATGAGCGAATGGCCCGTAAATATTGATAAAGGGCGACCGATCTCGATGAAATGCTATCCAGGGCACATCGGTCGATGAACTCTGCTTCGGTAGTATTCTGATGTCATTTGTCTCCAAAAGGTTATCTTCCTCCGACTCGTAGATGATGCGAGCACCGCACTCGATAGCTGCCAAATAACCAATATTTTTTCTCGCATATAATTCTTCCGGTAAATAGTTAATAATTCGATAGTTTAGCTTGAGCTGTTCATCAATCGAGAGAAAAATGAGTTTAGACCAAAGATTTTTGGTGATTCTGCTGAGCCAGTCTTTTGGTGTTTTGCGATTTCCTATGATCATTAGTTTCCAGTCCGATGTCAGGTTGAGGAATTTGAGCACAGCCGAAGTAGGATAAAAGATAGTGGTAATAACTATCCATTTATCACCTCGAATTGGACAGTTAAACGGAGAATGTAAATGTTGCTGTATCTGGAGAGAGCTAAACTTGCCTCGTGACAACCAAAAGCCAACACAAATAATGAGGCAAAACAGTACGAAAATTATACGACTAGAAAATATACTACGATATACAGCCATCGCTTTGATTTCTTGTGCTCAGCTGGTTTATAGTCTACAATACTCTACCCATATCAAAAACTGCTATTCTATTGATTTTCAGTCTTCCCAGACAGAATTAGTGCTTTTGTTTAGATTCCTTTCCAAGCGCTCTTTTTTCCTATCTGTAAGTAAAACCACTTTTCTCTCGGAAAGCCTGAAAATCTATTGAATAGTAGTTTCTTGTCTGCAGATCACGATTTTGGTTATGCCAGCTCCTAAGGTGCTCCTTGTCATGTAGCGTCTTCGGTCATATGCTGTACGATTATCGATCTAAGACAATTTAGAAACTAGCCATGCGTTGACATTTTCAAGTTATTATGGTTTGGTTATTTTATAAGTGTATGCATGTTTTTTGCGAAAAGGGAGAAAAAAATTATAATTTTACATGAATTAAGTCATGGACCAAAACTGTGTAAACCCCCCCTTATAATAGAAGACCCTCCTATAATAAAAGACTCTTCTATGAGAATGATGTGAAATTCACAATAGAAGACCCGGTTCTTGTAATGAATCCTTTGGAACCTCTTTAACTTTTTTTAGATTTACAGCAGCCAAATTAAAAAAGATGTACCGTTTCAACTCTTCATACAGTCATTGTCAGAGAAAAATATACAACACTACTATACTTAACATTTTGAAAATTTGTGAAAAGGAAGGGAAAGAATTTTACGAAAAAGAAAGTCATTTTACGTCGTTCTTTCATAACTTATTTTCGTCGACTTATTGTTGAATCGTGCCTAATGGAGAATAAAGTCACCAAGAATAAAAGAGAAAGCAATATTTTATTTCTGTATACCAATTTTTTCTTTCCTACGAAGAAAATACATTCTATTTCTACAGAAATAAAATTGACTGTATGAAAAAAGACTGTACGAAGAGTTGAAACGGCACATCTTTTTTAATTTGGCTGCTGTAAATCTAAAAAAAGTTAAAGAGGTTCCAAAGGATTCATTACAAGAACCGGGTCTTCTATTGCGAATTTCACATTGTTCCCATAGAAGAGTCTTCTATTATAGAAGGATCTTCAATTAAAAGGGCGGGCTTACACAGTTTTGGTTCATGAAATAATTCATGTAAAATTATAATTTTTTTCTCCCTTTTCACAAAAAAATGCATACACTTATAAAATAATCAAACCATAAAAACTTGAAAATGTCGACGCGACGCATGGCTAGTTTCTAAATATATAGATTAAACTGTTTCTAATGACGATTAGAAAGTGTTCGTCAATAACGTCTTGCAAACCAAAAGTATGTGGCTCAAATAATTATTTCGATAAGTGTAAATAAAGTAAAAAATTTTCTTTAATATAAACACTGAAAAGCATCGAAATGGTCATACAAGAAAATGAAAAAGAAAGAAGCAATGAAGAAGAAAGAAAAATAAAATGCAGTATTCCTTGACTGTAAAGGACAGGGTATTATCGAGTTAAAATGCCTGTATGTATGTATGTCTGCAGCCCATATACTAGCGACACTGCAACAACAACTTTGCAGCAAATAATATAGAATAGGTATTCGACAACGGGGAATCCGAAAATGATGTGACACCATGGATCGATTCTATTGGATGAAAAATTTGTTTCAACTCTCATCGCATTAAAAACCACTCAACTTGAGTACACACTAGAAAAAAAGCGTCGTTTACTAAACCCAAAAAGGGTTTAGTAAAATGCAATGACACGCTACCGCTTCAAAAGTTTAGTAAAAAAACCATTTTAGGGTTTAGTAGCCCACTAAATCTGAAAGCGGTAAGCGTGTCATTGCATTTTACTAAACTCCTAAAAAAGAGGTTTAGTAGCCTACTATTTACTTATGTTTTCGCAATGTAAAAAGAAAAGATACGGAAAGCGGCAACCGATAAAAATATCTCAACAAATTGGATACATTTACAAAAAATATCGCACCCCTTTTTCATTTACAGAAAACGAGGAGAAAAATCGCTGAGCTAGTACTGTTGCTGTCCTAAGCTTTCTTTGATAGCAGACTGGCGTCAGAATAAGACTTTCGGGATCTCAAACTTATTATCCTTGTTATCGCTCGAAAAACAAATTCAAAGTATACCTGACATGATAACGATTAAAGTAAACTTGTTAAATTTTCATATAAAACCGACAAAATCGTATCACAATTATAGACAGAAAATGAAACTTTTGAATAGTAAAAGTCCAGCATTATTCTGTTGAAAACCGAGGAATATATTCTATTTCTAAATCTGAAATTCTTGTTGCATTTTATTTCGTTCATGCAAAAATATTTCGTTACACACAACGTTATGTTAAACAGCAAAAGAGAGAAGAATAAAAGAAGCATAACGCCTGTGGTATGGAAGCTTGCATTAGACAAAGAAGACAATGTACAAAAATAAACAACGGTCTACAAAATACAAAAAATGTTAAAAATAAGTGTCATTAGGACAACAAAATGTTCTAGAAACGAAATCACCTAGTCTGCAGATGTTCAAAAGTTATTATAAAGACAACAACAGCAAAAACAACACAAAGAAATAGAAAGATTTCTTACAAAAATAAGCATAAGGCAAAAACAAAACAACTGCTCACGTGTTTCTTCATGAGCAGAAATATCAACTTCGATCACCGATTTCGTCTGTACAAAAAAAAGGTCATCGTATCATGTAACAAACAAATCTTTCACAACGGTTATCTGAAAAACAACTCTGTCTGACGAGGGAAGATCCCCGACTGATTCACGCCGTTTTGGTTGATATTTTGCCCACATATAGGGGATATCATTCTAAGAAAAAGCCTGAGAGGATTTATGTTGATGCGGCTTCTTTCAACAGTTATGAAT